TATATCACACAAGAGCATTGTTTTATATTATAATACATATATATGTATGTATGTTTGTGCGTTTGTGTGTACATACAGTGCAATTCAAAATACTGCATCTCTGTTGGGTAAAGATGAAAGATGGATAAGTGAACACGTGTAAATGTCACATATCCAAGTAGTAGCTTGTCTAGACGACACAAACCTGTCTTATAAACGCGGGGAAAAGGGCAGGTAGGTCAGGCGTCCTGTGCGCGGCCTGAAGCACCGTCAATCCGTCGCTACTGCAGGCTGTCAAAGACGCCCCAGCCGAGAGCAGCAACATAGCTGCGTCCCTCTGGCCCCTGGTGATTGCCAGGTGAAGGGGACTCGAGTATCCACAGCGGGGGTCCATGCTAACGCCCCTCCCGAGCAGCTCTCTAATGGCCTCCAGCTTCCCTAAGGAAGCAGCGGCCAACAGACTCTGGTGATCTTCGTCCGCGGTGCCACTGCCTTCGCTGCAGGGACGCGACTTCCTTGCCTTGAAAGAAATTGTTGAATGGGGTTCTAAAGAGGAATGACCATAAATCATAAACCTGTCTGCATCATATAACTCGGATAAAGACCATTTTTTTCATTTTTTTCAAAAACAGAGACAATACATATAGTGTGTATAATAGTTTATATAGTATATAATCAATTCTTAGCAGCTTGACATGACATGAGCCATTAGCTGGGCTCTAGCTAGAAAATACGCAAAGTAAATCAATAAACAATCAAATATTTGAGTGTGTGCGTGTAAATCTAGAACTATCAGATACTGATTTCTGCTTCTACAAGCCCTGTAGCCATACGTCTCTCAGAAGGCCAGCAAGACGGTGGTTTTCCCTCGCGGCGGCCAGGTCCTCGGGAAGCCGGCCCCGGTGGTCTGCAAGGGCGGGGTTGGCGCCATGCCTGAGCAGCCACTTGGCGAGGGAGGCCCATTGTTCGCAGGGCGAGAATTCATCCCAGCTCTCTTTGAAACTGCTACACGAAGCACTTTCCGCCAGGTAATGCAGAGGCGTCTTACCTGAAGGCAAATGCGATTATATATTATCATTGATAATACAGTGTCTACCAGGCGGTAAAATGCATGTGTATAAACCCAAGATTATAGACCTTCAGATTTCATGAACTCCTTCCACTAAAGCACGGAAATGAATCGTTACCAGTGGAGTCCACAGCGTTCATGTAAGCTCCGTGGGCGTAGACAAGATTATGCACATCGCCAACGTCCCACAGGGGAGCCTCGTTCGTGTTGCTCACTGACGCTGCGATGTGAAGGAGCGAGACGCCGGCAGGGCCTCGCACGGTGCCAGGCAGGGAGGTGCTAATCTCGCGGTCCTGGAAAAGCAGGTCTCGAACGCCCCTCGACCGTCCCGCCTCTGCCTTGTAGCAGCCTCTCCTGGCGGCGCCAAAAACGTCCCTGATACGCTCTCTGTATATCTGGTAGAGACAAGGGCAGCGCTGCATTTAGGATGTGTAGTGTATATCCTGTGTATGTAGTCCTGTCAGTGGAGGATTGAATAAAATCCTAGTCGTAATGTAGCATGGTCGTACTAATGGGTACTTTCTCATGGTAGGCAAACAGATCATAAAAAGAACAATAAATTAGCTTGTGAACACGCATAGATATACGTACATACATATATATACACATGTATATATGTGTGTGTGTGTGTGTGTTTCGCGAATCTGTACATCTTTCAATCTATCTAACTACACTCACATATATATAGCATATAGGTGTGTATGTACTAGTTTTGAAGTTTCAAATGCAGTTCATAGTTTTTCCTGCAATTCTGAAATTTACAGTAGTTCCATCTTTGAAATCATCGTTGCAGCAGCATGAACTCACGTCCAACGTCCGCCGAATATCCTCATTCTGGGCGAAGCGGGAGTCCGGCGGCCTGTTCTTGTGGAAGGTGGCGATGAGGTCCGTCAGCCCCCTCGCGTGGGCCTCCTGCAGCGGCGTGGTGTCCCGGGAGTGCACTCGCGCGCTCGGGTTGACGCCCAGCACGTCGAGGACACCTCGTACTGGTTGGCTTGCACGGTCTTCCACATCACCTCGTCCAGCTGAAGGAGTTCAAGCTTCATCACTCGCTGAACTCAGTGGTGGTGATGTGAATGCACGAGGGGGGATTTTCGGGAGTAGTTTGGTGGCGAGGAACGTCGTCGGACATGGTTCACTCTTGAGAGTTTTGGCAAAGTTAATTTTGTGGCACCTGCCATGAATATTAAAATCAGTGAAAGGAAAAAAATACAACCATGAGCTAATTCGCTGAAGAAAATGAGCTCTGAAGAACTGTATAACTTACAGCAGCCTTGGTCGAAGATGTAAAATACTGTCGGGATGTTTGGATGGCACAGGCAAGGTCTTCTACGACTGACCACCGCTTGCTCTCTGCAGCCTGCAAGAGCGTGGCTGCGAGCAGTGCTTGATCTCGGCCTGTTGCACGGATGGACCTCGCCGTCTCGCGGTAATACGGGTGCGTCAGGAAAG